GTGGTGTTTCCTGAATCGTGTGCAAGTCTTTGAATGCGACGTGTATACATGTCTTTGCATATCCGGCGGACAGGCTTTGTGTACCAGATATTACCCTAATGGATAAAGCTTTTCGTCTCATTGGGGTGTATGCGCTCAGTGACCATACTGAATGGCCTGATTTGTTTCGACGGATCAAGCCGTTTTTCGACTACGTCTCGTCGTAAAGTTTTAGCGGGCGGTTGAAATGCTGTACTTGACCCCGAAACGGATATTATATGGGAAAGCTCCGGTACTAACAAGTCGGATATGAAGCCATTTTGAGACTTTATCGTTAAGTTTTGATCTTGTTGATAAGAATCGTAATGCGAACCCCCGATACGTATTTTGAACTTGGACTAATAGGGGCAGCTCGGCTTCAGTGGTATGTTCTAGTTACCTCTACTGAGACGATATAAGCCTCTTAGTTCGTCCAAGTTTTAATTCTGTCATGTGCTCGGATCATAGACTCGTCCGAGTTCGTGTAAACTTAGATAAGACTAAAGTTGGGTGGGCTGTCTACTGGAAATTGAACGCGTCATTGTTTGGTGAGCGAGACTTTTAGGACCAGCTGCTACTAATGATACAGCGGGAAATGACGAGGGCGGGGGATGTGGCTAGTAATAATTGATGGGATAAATTAAAATCCAAAATTAGTTCGTGTGATGCTGATTATGGTCGTCGACTCAATGGAGTTAAATTAGCAGCGTAAAGCATGTGAGGAATCAGTTCATTAGGCGATTAAATCTCGTGATAGTGGGAAAGTAGACTTAGCTAGGGCAGAGTTTGCATTCTTGCTAATCAAGAAGTATGAAGCTCTAGTACTTAGGGCTAGATTAAAAAGAATATCTTTCAAAGCGACTAATATGGCCGCTGAATAGCGTGCAGAGGAAGTGAGAAATGCGTCAAACCGACGTATCGCGTGCGTCACATTGCCGGACAAGCGGACTGCAACAACAAACGCGGGCATATATGAGGATTTTCGTGACTACTTTCAGGATCTATTTTACCAGCGATCCTGGCCTGATCACTGCTCAGTTCGATGCCTATTTGGCCGAATTTTCGCGCCTGGGAGTGGCTGAAGCGGCTGGGTGCGGGGCTCGCATTACAGATTCTGAAATTTGGGAAGCACTGAAGCTGGTTGGCCAGAACAAAACTCTGGGATTGGATGTTCTTTCTTACGAACTGTACCTGACTCAGTCGCCTGTTCTTGTTTCTTTGCTGGAACTGTTTTACAACAACTAGATAAATCAAGGGTGTATACCACAGCGCTTTATCAGGGGTTGGTCAAGTTGCTACGCAAGGACAAAAGAGGTGGGATGTGAGAGGTAACTTTGACCTTTAATGATTTTAGCCAAGATCTTAACCAGCCGTTTCCAGGTTGTCCTCTCTGGTCTGATTGGTTCCGAACAGACTTTTACGCTTGATTATCGAGCGAGTCAACATGGAAGCCGCGCTGATCAAGTTAGATTAGTCGAAGGCATTCGATAGGTTTGACCATCGGTTTCTGGAAGCTGTCTTTTCCGCCACCGGTTTCGGGTCGTACTTTTGCACCTGGATCCGGCTGCTGTATGCGAACTCCGCTGCGCTAGTAGAAGTGAATGGGGGTTTGATCGTTTTGTCTCGCTCTATTTATCAAGGTTGCCGGCTTCGATTTTGCTGTACGTTCTTGCGATGGAGCCTTAAAGACAAATACCGTCCTACGTAGAATTTTCCTACATGGTACTACCACTTCGGCCATGTACTCCGCTTATGCTGACGACGTTTCGGTTCTTTTGTCGAGCAGAACAGAGATTGACGAAGTCGTCAAAGAGATCAGAGGGTACAAGACGGTAACATGGGCCAGGATCTACTATTGGTTTGCGGTTGGGTGTGCGGAAGTGAGTTTCACTACCCGGGCTTTTCCTCTGGACGAACGGGTCGGTCAAGATAATTGGCGTCTGATTCGGTCCCTATCTCCTTTTGGAAATAAATTTATCGGTGGTGCGAGAGGAGACGGAAATCTCAGTTCATTTGTGGTCCCAGACGAATCTTTCCTTAAAGGAAAAGACGGAAGTATGTGCGTCGCACATTTACCCGATTCTTCTTTACCGAATCTCCGTGCTTCCCGTATGACATACTAATGCAATTAAGGTCTTGTTTTCTTATTTATGGGGAGACAACTCCCGCAAGGTAGTTCTGTTAACTCCACCCTTCTGAAGACGTTCTGGGTATGCATAGCGTTGAGATTCGTCAATATACGCTTCGCATCGCGTTCCGAGATAGAATGGTAAAGCGAATTTCTGACGTAAGACGCTCGTAAGAACTTCCAATATCTGATAAGTGTGTACGAGGAGGAGACTCCCCGTTTACCCCGAAACGAGTGCTTCTTTTACCGGGTGACGGATGGCCTGTTCGACATACAAGCGTTGTTCCACAAGGTATTATATCATCTGTTACTAAAGGGGTCCTTTCAAGATGATTTGATAGGCGAGCTCAGTCTTATGAAGGACGAGGCTCGTTCTATATGGCCTTTGGTGCCCGGATCGAAATGCCTTACTAATGCTGAAGAATCACTCATCTGACTGGTGAACGGAGGGGTCCTCTTGGTCGGCAAAAGACTCTATTTGGTGGGCTTGGAAAAATCTCCAAACTGAGTTTGCTGCGGTGAGGCAATGCAGCCCATTGGTCACGCCTTCTTTTATTGCAGTGTCGTAGTCCCGTTGGGCAGGTTTATTGAAGATATCATGGTTTATATTTGTCACTGTAATTTTTTGTCCTAGAGGTCAGTTCTGTTTGTAGTAATATGCTATCCTAGTTGATGAAGGCTGAACACTGTGTGTTCTTTTTCTTGTTAGTCGTTATGGGAATCGTGATATGGACGACAGGTCAGAACGATTTCTATGGGGGCGAGAAGTTCTCTTTTCAACTGATCTTGTAGTTTAAGCATTAGATTAGTCAAGATGAGGACGGAAAGGCGGTGCCCCCCACATCAGAATGTGACAAAAGATGGGTGAGTCTTGCTTGTACCTGTCGAATAAAAGGGTCCAATTCAGAGTGGCACTTTGATTCCGGTAAGTTATTAGGATATTGTTCTAACTGTATTAAACTTTGGCAACCCAGTCCAAAAATAGGCTAGTTTAGGGTTATTTTTGTCTTTAGTTTATGTTTTCAAAGTTTACTTAGGAGATGTAAACACATTGACCCCTTATTTTTATTTATTTATTCTGCCTCCAACTTTCTTTAGTTTAATTCCCTCTTCTCCGTTAGGTGACCAGAGATGTCAATTCTTTGGTGAATGTGGGACGCCTTTCGTATTTTGGGAGCGACTTTTTCGGATTTGTTGATGTGTTTGAATGCGTGTATGTCTGTGTGAGTAGCTGGACGAATGTTGGTTTTTAATTATGTAAATCGCTCATTACTTTTATCCAGTAAAGGTTTCTGCCACAACTGAACATTGTGTCGGGTGTGGGGGTAGTTACTAACATTATTTTATTTAGCTTCTTGTAAATAGCTTATCAAATATTGTAAATACACATTTGGGTTTATGTTATTAGATTGTTGTTTTATTCCCCTCCTCACTATAGGCAAAATATTGGACATATAAGGACGAGTTAGGACTTCATAGAAATTCTGAGGTATTATGGTGGATGTAGTAAGAATGATATGTAAGAATGTGTTGTTTTGGTATAAGGAATATTGTGATATGTTTGGGTCAGTGATTGTGGCTAGCTAAGTTTAATTATAAGACAGAAGAAGACTCGCCTTTCCCAATCCCCCTTTTGACCTTGTGCCACATTTTTGTATTTCGTTCAAAATAGATATCGACTTTACGAATTTAAGTGTGTTACTAGATTGGCAGTTAGGTCTCATTATTTGAAACTGCTATATGTAAATATAAGTTCTATCCACGCAGTTTCTTTTCTCGCACTTTTCACTTGTGGAACTCGCTCTCGCTTTCTTGATTTCCAGTTAACGTCAAAAATTTAAATGCAATGTCAATCGTTAGCCTCTATCTTCTTTTATTGTTCTCTCTGCTTAATAATGCTTTTCTTTTTCTCATATTCTTTCACACTCAGTCTTAGTGGTTTTATTACCTTCATACCAGAATAGTACGTGGAAATAGCTTGAGGAACAACACCATTGAAGCCAGCAGTGTGTCTTTAGATATGTAGATGAAACCTTCATACTCTGACCTCATCAGAAAGCTGTACAAACACTTCTGGACCATGTGAACTCAATAAAACCTTTGATCCAGCACGCAATGAAAGAAGGAAATAATAATCAGCAAGCCTTCTTGTTTGTATAAACAATTCACAAAGAGAATAGGTTCAAAACATCCGTATATCACCAACTAACCGTCGCCGGACAACACTTCAGTTTTAATTCCTATCATCCATACAATGTGAAGAAATGGATCAGCTAATACAATATCAGACAAAAATAGTAAGGTGCTACCCCAACTCATTCGATCTGGACATGATTAGTCTCAAGAGTACTCTTCAGAATAGCTACTACCCTACAAAAATAACATCAGTGTTTACATGTGGAAACAGAAGGCTCAAGGAAGATGACCAGAAATATGCCATGATCTGCCTGCCTTAGTTCAAGGGCTTGTCGGATAAGATTCAGAAGATTTGCGGTACATACAACATTAAGACAATGTTCAGAAGCAGCACTCACTCTACAGAGATATCTCTACCGAGTAAAGCCTAACACGGAGGAGATTATGAGTAGGTACTGTGTGTACTTCATTACTTGCAGTTCTGGTCAAATAATAGAAAGGTGAAACAAGCCGTCCCAAAGATAAGTCTGAAAGAACTTCAAAAGTCTGCAGCGGGCGGTGAAACAATGAAACCGGGCATAGCTGATTATGTATCGAGGGAAAAGGATAGTCAATCAGCCGCTGTAGAAAGAAGTTAAAATACTGGACAAGGAAGAACACTGGCGAGTTAGTCGTCTGATAAAAAAAAGCGCATATTCTAAACTAAGACCTCCTTAGTATGCCTGGCAAGTGTGTAAGTCGCTCTCTCTCTCTCTCTTTCTCTGTCTCTCTCTCTCCCCCCCCCTCTCTCTCTCTCTCTCTAGTGGTTTGTAACACATTATTTGTAATCTTTCAGTTACGTCTCTTGTCTTTGGGCAGAGTGCACTCAGGGGCGACTCAGTCAAAGGACAGCGTCGCAACTGAGGAAATTATACTGCCTTGGGGAACAGCTGCTCGAGGCCGCACCCTCTCATTGCACCAGAAAAAGAGAGAGAGGGCGGGGGCGAATCGGTGCTCGCACCGAGACCAGCGCAACCGACGGATGCGGGGGCTAAGGTTATTTTTTTTCTAGCCCGGGTGTATGCGCTCGGGTACCTAGCTTAAAAACTGATCTTATGTCACAACTGGTCTTATTCGGGAGACAGAGTAAATATCTAGTATGCCTGGCATATAAGTAAATACGCTATGGGAGCCGCTAAGACTGAAATAAAGCCAAATGACAGGAAGTCTCCAACAGTAACAGTAATTGTAACAAAAGAGAAAATCTTAGTTAGTGCAGCCAAACATAGCAGCACTCATTAGCAGACAGATTAGGTTTAAGATTCTAAGTTCTCCACAGTAAAGCGTGAATTTGGTGACATTGTTACTGTAAGCTGTATCCCCGTGACGTGCAATGTGTACTTGGACTCAGTGGAAACAGAGCGGGCAATAACTAAGCAGTTCTAAAATTAAGAACTAGACTTGATATCGTAGACATGGGCAGTAGAACCGCGTCTAGAAGGGCGAGCAATAATACTACTAATAAGCAGTACTAAGAAGGGCAGTGAAACGAGAACTGTCTACCACCATAGATTAAATAAAAGCATTCCTTGTAGGTTAACCAGATCTACATTGACCTCATGAAAACCAGACCGAAATCTTGTGGTAACAACAAAGATGTGGAAAATAGTCCGCATGTTAACAATGTAAATATGAGGATATTATTTCGTTTGAGATTAATGATTACCATTAGACTAAATTTATGAGACCGTTAACTGGGTACCCCAATGTTGTAGTCCGTGCTCGGGAAAGATGAACTTATATTGATTGATTCGTTTTCTACGGCTTATCAGGACTTTTCAGGTTTAAAGCCAGAATATATTTTTAGATTGTAAGATCTGTTTTTGATAATTATCTTTTAATAATAATGTTTAAGTGATAAAAGTCTTACTAATTAACCCATAGCTGGGAGGAGAAGAGGTGGATTCATACCTTTCCATGATTATTTCCGAGGAAGTGAATATATCGAACTCAACGTGAATTGGGACTCGGCTTTCCGATTAACAATTTCGAGGCATGTATCAATTACACCAACCAGCCGTGACTTTGCCTAAGTTCGGTGTTTGTATGGGAACCGGTATTACAACGTGATGTGACCGTAAGGCAGGAAGAACTTATATATATATATATATATATATATATATATATATATATATATATATAGTATTACACAACAAAATCAAAGATTAGCTCATACGGAGTGGGATAGATCTATTTGAACCGACGAAAAACGCATCAGTCTTATTCAACCCCGGGGTAAAGACTGAGTTCGGGTCGGATTTAGAAATTTATCTTTGACAGCCGTCGAAGAATTTATACAGAATTTATCAACTCCAATGTTTCAGTCAGACGAAATGCTGGAGGCAGTGATTAAGAGAGGGTGGCATGTAGTATTAGCCTTAAGGGAGAAGAGGTTTTATAAAATTAAACTCAGACATTATCCTTCTGACATCAAATTGGGATAATAGGAAGAATATGTTGTTAATTTGAAACTAAAAGAGGGCCGAAAAGGGAATTATATATATATATATATATATATATATCAATCGCAGACAGTACGGTATCGCTGTAACGCAGCTCATCAGTAAGACTAGACAGCCGAGTGTCTCAAGCCCGGATTGAAACCCAACTGATTTGGTGGAATTTAGAGTCTTTACCACTGAGTTATCTTCACTGGACAGTATGAGTCAGCCAAATCTAGCGTATTTTTTGTTTTTTTTACAAATGTAAATAAACACCAAATAACCTAAGTGCTCCATTTATTTTACTGAAGAGCTTCGTATTAACGCAAGTGCCTGTTGTTTTTAGAATTAGCTTTTCATTCAACAGTGCTCAATTGAAAATATATTTTCAAGAGCTATATATGAGGCTAGGTTAAAAGAATGATAAACTATACTTAAAAATAAGATATATCTAAACGATTAAAAATAAGTCATATTTAGGTAATATTATATATTAATATTATATTAAATTTAAGTAAAAATAAATTTGTTACCAGTACTATATATATGGATATATTATAAATTAATTGATTTAAAATATGTTTTTTTTTCGCTACACAGTTCCAACCATGTTTCAAAAATAGAAGCTAAAACCCCGAATTTAATTTTGCAATTAAATTAAAAGCATTAGTTCCATTTCATCTTCAAGAACACCGGATTTTATATTTACTGTTCTTTTTTTTATATATATATATATATATATATATATATATATATATATATATATATATATATATATATATATGTATATAATAAAAAAGACTTAAACACTAATATTCCATGGTCATAATTTATTCCATTGGAATCGTAAATACGATCCAATTCATCAGACCTACAAATTCAAAAAGAAAACAGAAAAAACAATTCCGGAAATAAAAAATAGAATTTAGAGAGAGTGTAAGTATGAGAGTGTAGGACGAATGTTAGAGCTATAGAGAGAGGTAACAGACGAGAGAAGGTGGGAGATTAAAATTTAACAGAGAAGTTTTAGAGAGGTGAGTTAAAGACGGTTTAGGTGAGAGAAATATGAATGTTGTCGGATGTCTAATACATTAAAGATGTAACCGGAAAGGATACATTTTGTGGTGACATACACACACAATAGACGAGGGAGGGAGGGAGAGAAAAAGAAAAAAAATAAGGGGTGGGGAGAGAGATGGGGAGGGGGAAACTAAAACTGAAGGGCATTTACTGAAAGGGCCGCTGTGTAATTAAGAAAATTTGACAAAATTAATATCGACTACAGGTTACAAATCAAATATAAACATATAAAAAATAAATATAACGATTATCTAATCTAGCAAGGACCTATATATTTATGTTCAAAAACACATGCGTATACACACATACACAATAACATATACACGTACATACATACATATAGGCGTGTACCCACATGAACACATATATATATACCCATGTACACACATATATCATATATATATACATATACATATATACACATATATATTTTCATATACATATACATACATACACATACATACACACACATACACATACATGTATACATATACATACATAAACACACACATACATATACACATACATCCATACACATCCACTCTTACATATATATACACATTTACACACATATATACATACGGAAATACACATACGTGCACATAAACATATACATAAAACCTTACATCTCCATACAATTACATACACCCATCTAAACAACTAAACAATATATCCCTATATCTATCCGTGTAACTATACATACATACATATACACCCGTGTATGGATATATATGAGTACATACATACCAAAACATACACACGCACATATAAACACATCTACATATACATCTACCTACATATACATACATCCATATACGCATACATATATATATACATATACATATATACGCATGCATATACATATACATACATACACATACATATACATATATACACTCCTACATATATACACATATACACACATACACACACAGGTACGCACATATACATATACATATAAATCAAAATGTAAAATCTAAAAAAGTAAAATTTAAAAAATTTTATCGCAAAAAAAATTAAAATACATAGCGCATCACATAAACATACACAATGATATATATAGATAAACATAATAAACATAATAGTCATTCCATTAAAATGTCATGCCCGATGTTATTGAACCAAGATGGAACTGACATAAGTGACAACATGTCATAAAACGGTGTTTATGCTTTGAATCGTTTCTTATGTCTACATTTAGAAAATATCTCATTACGAAGATTCAGCAATTCATCTTGATTCTTAACTTTAATAATAAAATTTTTTTCCGCCATGCACAGATCACACCGATCGCGGAAGTTATTAGGTGTTCTAGCTCTTGATAAGTATCTCCATTTTAAAAGTGGGGTTAGTCCCTTATCCACCAGATCCCAGTAGTGTTTGGATAAGGAAGTTTGATTTCTGAGGTATCTATATCTAAATGAGCGTTTATGGTTATATAGACGCTGCTTCCAATCACCGGCGGATATACATATATATCTTTTTTTCTGCTTTATATTTTCCTTGGGAAAGATTGTTGCCTCGTATACTACATTTTCATACTTACATTTACCCCCGATTGGACAATGGTCTTTATTCCTACAATTGCAGGTAGGGTTACTAGATTGAGTTTCAATTATGGGAAGATATGATTTTCTCTATATTTCTAACACATGAGTAACTAATTTTCGGTGTCTTCCTATAGAAAATTTTACGTAGTGGATGTTTACTATGAAAGTGTTTATCAATTAATTTCAGAAAGAAACTTCCTATATCAATGTTATAGAGCCTGCAATATGGTGGGTTGAAACATATGACCTTCCTCTTTCTGTTTTTAGTTCTGTTAATAATAACAGATGCATTGAGCATAAACCTCTGAGTTGTAATGTCGGCGTAGGGTATTATGCATATTTATTAATATATACTTGATAGCTCTGTTATTTAGCACTGAGCACTGTTTTTCTTACATCAAAGGATATATATATATATATATATATATATATATATATATATATATATATGTATTTGAACACTTACATGTACATTAATTGATATTTATTCTTTTGATTATATATATATATATATATATATATATATATATAATTGTTTATTTAAGTAGCAATCCATTTTTATACAAATTTCATTAATTAATTAAATTTCCTTGTGTTCGTATATATATATATATATATATATATATATATATTTCAGGATATGTCTAGAAAAAAAATATATAGTATATGAAAATTGTCCGAATGCTTTGTATGTC